ACCAGTCCCCTCTCGGGGACGAGGCAGTCTGGCCTCGCCTCTGCTCCAGGCTGAGGATTGCCCACTAGGCTTCTTCCTTCCTCACTTGCCCAAAGCCCTCTGCTGGTCAGTGGTGTCCAGCCCGTTCCTGGTGGCCTCGCCAGCCCCCGGGTCCAGTGCCCACATTGCCCAACCCTCTCCTAGGCTCTGTGTTGACAGTTGAGTCCTCCTGCTGCCCCACCTCCTGCCATCTGGTGGCCCAGTTCAGCGTCCTCAAAATGGCTTCGGCCCCTTGGACTGTCTCTCTGGTTCCCTGGGGACAGGCCCCTCTCTTCATTCAGTTTCCTTTCCTGCCCCCCACGTGTCCTGACATAATATGACATAACACAGCGAGTGCCCTAGCCCTGGCCTCCTCAGTCACACACCAGAAGCTGGGTGCCGGGAGAGGCCCCTGGGGACGGGGCCACAGCCCGGATTGGCAGGAGAGCATGGAGCTGGTGGCAGGCGCTCTGGGTTGGCACTGAGGTGCCGTGTGACATTAGACAAGCCCTTGGCCTCTTTGGGCCACCACTATGTCTTTTCTAAACGGAACAGTTCCCAGGGGGATGTGTGCAAGTCTCGGGCCTCACTCTGACCTCACAGGCAGGAGGTGGGGTCCCCGCCCCTCCCAGATGAGGGGAGCTCAGGCAGACACACCTGCGTTGCCCCCCTCCCCCGCTGTGGCTCTGCGGCCGCTGGGACATCGCTGCTCTTGCGACCTTGGTCTCACTGAGAGTCCAGGGACGGCAGGGCCTGGGAGCCAGGGGCAGGGGCGGAGGCCCTGTGTAGATGGAAGGGGAGCTCGGAGCTGTCGGAGAGGCCAGGCTGGGGCCCGATGCCAGTCCCTCTTCAGGGAGCCTGTGACTTTGAGCCAGCCATGGCCCTGCCTGCTCCAGCGAGACAGACCCACGCCAGGGCACACTGAGGGCGGGCAGCCCCCGATGCCCAGACAGGGCTGAGCTTCTGCCTCCGCCCCTCACGGGAAGTGCGTGCTTTCTGGGGAGCAGACTCCCCCTTCTGTGTCCTCTGGGCCCTGGTCAGACCGGCAAACAGGGTCAGGGCTGCATGCAGCAGGGGGAAAAGGACCAGCTCGGCCTCCCCAGGGGAGGGGTGGAGGCAGCTGACCACAGGCTGAGGAGCTGGAATGAGGGTTCTCAGAGGGAGCGGGTGGGCCCCCAACAGGCCTCCCTGCAGGGCGACAGGGGTTTCACAAGGAGCTGCATTCTGGGGGAGTTGATGCCCGCCCCCTGCCCCCACCTGTGCAGGACGAGGTCAGCCCACCGCTGGCCGGGCCCCCCTCCAAGATCCACGTGCTGCTGCTGGTTTTGCACGGGGGCACCATCCTGGACACGGGAGCTGGGGACCCCAGCTCCAAGCAGGGCGACGCCAACACCATCGCCTCGGTGTTCGACACGGTCATGCGTGCGCACTACCCCAGCGCCCTGGGCCACCTGGCCATCCGCCTGGTCCCCTGCCCGCCCATCTGCTCCGATGCCTTCGCCCTGGTCTCCAAGTGAGTGTGCTGGCTTGCGGCCACCCACCCCTCCCCGCCCCGGGCTAGGTGACACCCCCAGTGTTACCCATCTGGACATTCAGACCTGCCACTTAGCCCAGATGGCTGGTCACAGGGTCAGGGGGGGCCAGGGCCCAAGGCTGAGCCTGTTTCCTCATCCGTGACATGGGGTACCGACCTGCCTCCGAGATCCAGGACCTCACCCCCCAGCCCTGTCCTTGAGCCTGCCCAGGGCCTGGCCCGGAAGTGTCCCCACCAGGTTTGCCAGGTCATAGCTGAGGCGCTCAGGGTGGCAGGTGGCTCCTGGCCCACTGTTCAGGGCCAGGGAGATGGGCCCCTTGGGCTGGCCTGAGGCTACCTGCTGTCCCCTGACCGGGCCCCCTCCCCCAGCCTCAGCCCCTACAGCCACGACGAAGGCTGTCTGTCCAGCAGCCAGGACCACGCGCCCCTGGCTGCCCTGCCTCTGCTGGCCACCTCCTCGCCCCAGTACCAGGAGGCGATCGCCACAGTGATCCAGCGGGCCAACCTCGCCTACGGGGACTTCATCAGGTCCCAGGAGGGCGTGACCTTCAATGGGCAGGTGAGTCGTGGGGTGGGGAGATGGAAGACGGGGTGGGCGGGCCTGGACCTCCAGCCTGGGCGGGCCTGGACCTCCAGCCCAGCGGGGGCAGGGGTCGATGGCCGTCCCCAGCCCGCGTCCCAGCTCAGGCCCTCGGGCCTCCCGCACTCCAGGTCTGCCTGATCGGGGACTGCGTCGGCGGCATCCTGGCCTTCGATGCCTTATGCTGCAGCAACCAGCCCGTGTCCGAGAGTCAGAGCAGCAGCCGCAGGGGCAGCGTGGCCAGCGTGCAGGTACCAGCTCCCCACGGCCCCCTCCAGCATGGAGATGATGTGGCCCTTTGGCCCCAGGGCCTGTGGTAAAAAGAGGAGGACAGAGGTCACCGGGACAGGTGCTCAGAGGTCAGGGCAGCGCGTGGGCAGCAAACAGCTACAGCAGATGACGGAACGCGGGCCGCACTGTGGGGAGCGAGGTCTGGGACGAGTGGCCGGCGTCACCCGCTGTCACCATCTGAGCTCCCCAGCGGGAGAGAGGACCAAAAGCCCCTCTGCAGCAAACGGCCTGGGGAGACCCCCGAGGTCCGGGTGGCCAGGCCAGGCCAGGCGTGAAGGCTGTTCGCACATGGCCGGCGGGCTGGAGGGACAGTGGGAGGGGGGGTTCACTTTGGCTTGGGTGACGGGTTGGCTGGGCAGTGGTCAGGGGGAGGACACCGAAGAGGGAGCCAGGCCGGCGGCCACCCGGCAGTGAGCCTGCGTGGGGCTGTTCCAGGACACTGACCTGCTGTCCCCGGGCGTCCTGGTGAATGCGGCACACGGTGGCGGTGGCAGTGGCCTGGAGAGCAGTCGGCACCTGAGCCGCAGCAACATTGACATCCCCCGCAGCAGTGGCACTGAGGACCCCAAAAGGCAGATGCCCCGCAAGAGGAGCGACTCGTCCACCTATGAGCTGGACACCATCCAGCAGCACCAGGCCTTCCTGTCCAGGTGGGGGGCCGGCGGGGGCCTGGGTGTCCGACCATGCTGCTCACTGCCAGGGGAGGACGGGGAATCCAAGAAGCAGGGACGGTCAGAGCTGAGAATTCAAACAATGTGGGGGGCCTCGGGACGCGGGGAGGTCCGGACTGGGCCCATGGCTCATTGGTAGGTGAAAGGGGCTTGTGGGGTGTGGTGTGGTCTCGGATATGCTGAGGGCCATCTCGAGCCAGAGGGAAGAGACTGGGGAGGGGACTTGCTGGGGGCAGAACTGACCAGGAGGACCAGGGTCCCTGTCAGGCTGTCCTGAAGGCACCGGGCTCCCTGGAGAGATTGGGACCCGCTGTCCCCAGACATGGGGAGCAGCGCCTGAACGACAGCATAGGGGTCCAGCCTCATTTGGGCCTGATGACCCCTGAGAGGCCTCCTCCAGGGGGCAGGGGGCGGGCCAGCCCCACAAAGGGCCGAGGTGTGAGCCGGCACGTCCCCCATCTGCAGCCTCCACGCCAGCGTGCTGCGGCACGAGCCCAGCTCCCGCTGCTCGAGCAGCGCCACCATGCTGGACGGCACAGGCGCCATGGGGAAGTTCGACTTTGAGATCGCTGACCTCTTCCTCTTCGGGTGCCCACTGGGGCTGGTCCTGGCCTTGAGAAAGACCATCATCCCCACCCTGGATGGTGAGAGCCTTCTAGGGGCAGGGTGGGGCGGGCGGTACATGAACGGGGCAGAGGGTCACAGTGGACCCCTGCCATGAGGCCATCGCCGAGTGCCAGGTCCCCTCCTGTGTCAGCCTGTTTTCTGTCCCCCCTACTCAGGGCCCATGCAGCTCAGTCTCTGGCCCCCAACACCTGTTGTTTCATTTCATCTCCAAGGCACCCCTGGGAACTGAGGTCTAGATAGGAAAGGGACCCTTCCAGCCTCAGATGCAGATCAACCCAGTCTCCCAGGCCCACGGTCTTCCCAAAAGGAAGAAATGTGAAGCCAGGCACCCCCTAAGGCCTCCCAGGCACAGTGGCCTCCCCGCTGGAGGGGCCACAGCCACACCACTCCGGCTGGTGACCCTCCTCACCATCTGCACAGGGAGGCAGAACATACGGGCTAAGCGGCCTGTCAGGGCAGCGGTCCCTGCCTGGCACTGCCCCAGATCAGCCAGTGTGGCCCAGGGAACCCTGCCGTCCTCGCCGTGCAGGCCCTGTGTTATGTCCCCAGGTTACAGAGGGGGAAATCGAGGCTCAGAGAGGTGTAGACACTTGCCCAAGAGCAAGTAAACAGTAGCTTTGATGTAAGTGCACAAAAACACAGAGATGTGGCATTAAAAAGAATGGCAGAGGACAACATGCGCTGATATGAAAGACTCTAACTTTTTGTGTGTTAAATGAAAAAAAAAAGCTTAGCTCAAAAAGCATAGCATATATTCCTAATTGTGTGTGTTTTTAAAAGTGAGACACGCACTACTGATAGTTTATATAGGTTTCTCCCGCTATCCGAAAATAGAGCATTCTTATGAAACCTTTTGTAAGCCGAAACGGCATAAATCAAAGAAGCAATTACCATTAATTTATACCGAAAAATTTTTATATTCCCAGACCCCAAAATAACCTACCAAATCATACCAAATATGCTTAATTATGTCCAGTTTTACAATAAGCATAACACTCTTATAAGGGCTCTGAGGCTTTTCAGATACCTTAGGACAGGGGTCCCCAACCCCCGGGCCATGGACAGGTACTGGTCCTTGGCCTGTTAGGAATCAGGCTGCACAGCAGGAGGTGAGCGGCGGGCCAGAGAGCGAAGTTTCATCCGCATTTGCAGCCGCCCCCAGCACCAGCATCACCACCTCAGCTCCGCTTCAGATCATCAGGCATGAGATTCTCATAGGAGCACCGGTCCCTGGTGCCAAAAAGGTTGGGGACCGCCGGTTTAGGACATATCTCACTAACAGCTGTACAAAACGAATTGAGAGACCGATGCTCCCACAGTTCAGGGCTCCGGTGGCTTGATGCTGAGTTGCTGAATGTGGTTCCAGGGACGCAGCTCGGCTGGGCCACGCTGGAGAGGCATGCTGCCTCTACAACAGTTGGTGCCAAACAAACGCTGAAAGCTATTTCCGCTTTTTCCGTAAAAGCGAAAGTGCTCTTCAGATTTCTCGATTAGTGAAAACAGGTGCAGATGGTCCCCGACTTAGGATGGTTCGATTTAGGATTTTTCAACTTTGCGATGGTGTGAAAGAGATACGCATCCCGTCGAAATTGTGCTTTGAATTCTGAATTTTGATGTTTTCCCAGGCTAGCAGTATGGGGTGCGATCCCCTCTCGCGATGCTGGGCGTTATAAAATAGGCTTTGTGTGAGACGATGTTGCCCAGCGGTAGGCCAGTGTGTGTTCTGAGTGTGTGTAAGGCAGGCTAGGCTAAGCCGTGACGTTCAGTAGGTTGGGTGTTATCAAATGCATTTTGACTTCTATTTTCAACTTAGCAATGGGTTTATTGAGGCTTAACCTGATTGTAAGTCTAGGAGCAGGTGTACTAATATGTCTTTCTTTAAAGAAAAGTGACAGAACAAGAACTTTTGAAATGCCCGTACTTACATTCTTACATTCACCGGAAGTGGTTGGAGAAACAGCGGGTTCTGACAGCTTAGGTGATTTTTCCAATAGACAGGGCGCCACCTGCTCCCCGGCGCATGCGCACGAGGCTCCCTAATGTCCGGCCGGGGAGGCTCTGGAGTAGGAGGCCGCCTTCCATTATGTCTTTTATCATATATTCTTGTATTTAAAAAAAAAAAATTTCCCTGCCATCATAACTTTTTCAATAAATTTTTGGGGGGGTTAATAAATGGACAATGGCCCCCAAAAAATCCCAAATTGACGGACACACAGTTTCAAGTTTTCGGGTATCTGGGACCCCGACCGCACCCCGCCCCGCTCTAGGCCACGCCCCCTCGGGGAGGAGCTAACTGCAGCCTCTGCGCCCCCTGCCCCGCCCTGCCCTCAGTTTTCCAGCTGCGGCCCGCCTGCCAGCAAGTCTACAACCTGTTCCACCCCGCCGACCCGTCGGCCTCGCGCCTGGAGCCGCTGCTGGAGCGGCGCTTCCACGCCCTGCCGCCCTTCAGCATCCCCCGCTACCAGCGCTTCCCGCTGGGGGACGGGTGCTCCGCGCTGCTGGGTGAGCGCCCTGGGGCAGGGCGGGTGCTCCGGGCTGGGTGGGCTTGCTGTGTGGGCAAGGGCAGCCTGTGCCGGAGCCCTGGGAAGCTGGGCACCTGTGCGGGTGTGGGTGCCTCGACCTCACGCATCCCAGCGAGGCGGGAATGACGACAGAGCTTCACCCCCGTGCCAGGGGACAGACGGGGCCCAGGCTAGGCTTCCCTCTCCGCTGCCCACTGAAGCAGAGCTGAGGACCCGAGGCACGTGGTGCTGGGCCTCTGGATGCCCACCCCAGATATGGGGGCTCAGGATGGGGAACACAGAGTGGGTCTGGGCAGGGAGCAAGTGCGAGGTCTGCCTGCTCTCCCCTCCCGGCCCTCCCTGGGAACAGCCCAGTCCCACCCACCCCGGCGTGTGTCCCAGTGTCTTGTCATGTCCTGGCTCTTGAGGAGCCCTGTGTGTCTTGTGTCAGAGCATGTCCAGACGGGCCACACGAGTGTCTGTTCTTGTCCTCTCTGTTCTCTCCCCGTCTGCCTCCAGTCGAGACCGTGCAGAGAAGCCCTGAGCTGGTCCTGGAGGGCGGCCCCCTGGCCCCTCTCCCACCCGGGGATGGCTTCCTGGAGACCAGTATCCTAGTTCCCGCGCTCACGTGGCAAGACGGGCCGGGCCCGAGCCCGGGCTGTGCTGAGTGTGTGTGACCCCCCTGCTCCCGCGGCGTCTGCTTCGCTGGCTCGCTGCAGCCCCTCACGGACCCTGCCCCCGTGCCCCCGTCGGCCACCCGCAGTTTGTGAGACCCAAGTGATGAGGAAGGGAAGTGAGCCAGACAGGTCCTGGGGAGTAGGTCCTGATGCCCCCTTTCTGCAAACTGTGGCAGAGCCAGGAGTGGACCCAGAGCAAAGGGGACCGGGAGCCCAGGGAGGAGAGCGGCTGGTCAGGGTCATCTAGCACAGGTGGCAGTGCACGGGCGCTGTCCCCCCTTTGTGAGGCTGGTGGGGGGCCAGCCAGGAGATGGGCTGAAGCCTCCAGCCCGCCAGGCCCACCTGCTCCTCCAGGAGAAGCCTTCAGTCCTGGCGAGGGATTGGATTCTCTCCCCGAGGTCCAGTCACCTCCTGCATCCTGCACCCTGTCCAGACATGGCTCCTCTAGCCGAGGCCTGTTCTCATGGCTCGACCCTGCCCGCAGCCCCAGCCCAGGCAGCCCTAAGCACCTGCCTTTGCCGCTGTGGCCTGTGTGTGGGGACTTGTGTGAGGCCTCAGTGCGGGGCGTCCCAGGAAGCTGCCCCAGGCCCTTGTTATGCCCCTCAAACCCGGCTGCCATGGGCTGTGGCTGAGGCCAGGCCTGGCTAGGCCCTGGAGGCCGAGAAGGCTGGACTTGACTAGACCAGGAGGCTAGACCAGGAGCAGTGTGTGGGATCAGAAGGTGGCCGGGGGCAGGGGGCCTGGCCGCGTGGCCCCCCTGCCCACTGTGTCTGTGTTGGTCTCTGTCCATCCCTGTCCCAGCCTCCCTTCCCTCTGCCTCAGCTCTGTGCCCTGCCCTCTCGGCCCTGGGCAGGCAGGCTCCGGCACACCTGGGCCCATCCTCACTGCCAGCTTTGCTCAGATGCCACGCTCGTCTGCCACTGGAGGTGTCAGCCTTGCCTGGCACAGCCTCCACCCCGACTCCCCCAGCCCAGGTGCATGCTGGGCCCTCCATCCCACTGCTCAGGGGCTTCCAGGCTGAGCCGGGCGGGGCCTCTCTTACCCCGAGGTCTCTGGTCCCTGTCCACCTGCAGCAGATGCGCTCCAGACCCACAGCACGGTCTTCCAAGAGCACACGGGCCCCTCCTCGCCCGGTGCGGCCACCACCGCCCGAGGGTTCCGCCGAGCCAGTGAGATCAGCATCGCCAGCCAGGTGTCGGGCATGGCAGAGAGCTACACAGCATCCAGCATTGCCCAAAGTGAGTACAGCGGTGCCGGAGCCCATCCTGCCCACACCCTCCCATTTGTCACAGCAGGGACCAGTGTGCCCCTCCAGGGGCAGTCGGCAATGTCTGGACACAGATGGGGAGGGGGTACTACCGGCATCTGGTGGGTAGACACCAGGGATGCAGCTCCATGCCCCGGAATGCCCAGGACGCCCCACCGAGGAGTGATCTGGCCCCAGATGTCCACAGAGGAGTCTGGAGGGAAGGGGCGTTAGAAGGGGTGGCCCCATGGGGCCAAGTCCAAGGGGTATGAGACTGGGAGGGTCCCAGAAAGCCTGGGTGGCGGGGTCCTAGCCCTGGGGGGCAGGGCGCTTGCTCCCTGAGGGAGAAAGCCGGGGGCCTGTTTCTGGACAAGTAAGCGGAGCTGGACAAGCCGGAGGGGTGGCTGAGGGAGCCGGGGAGGTGAGGTCTCCTTGTGGCTGCCAGGCCCTCCTGCTTCCCTAGGGGGCCAAGGACCCATGGCTCTTGCCATCTCAGAAGGCTCCCTGCAGCTGGCGGGGGTCCAGGTGACCCCTTCTCAGCCCCACCCCCAGCCTGCTGCCCCATCTTCCCTGCCCGCGTGATCACTTCTCAGGCTGCCTGTCAGAGCAGGCAGCGCTGGGGCTAAGGCCGGTGTGGTGGTGTCCCCCCGTGAGGAGGGCCGAGGGGGCCTGGCGTTCTGCCCAGCATCCTTCCCGCCCGTGGTGGCCCCAGCATGGCTGACACCTTTCCCGTTGTTCTTGATTCTCAGAGGCCCCAACGCCGCTCAGCTACACCCCCAGCGTCAGGCGCCTGTCCCTGCTTGCCCTGCCCCCCCCATCCCCCACCTCCCCAGGCTCCCGCCCACAGGCCAGGCAGGCCAAGCCCAGCCTGGAGAGGGCCCCCTGCCTCCCCGACCTGGACATCAGAGAAGGTACTGGGCGTCACACGCCCGCCACCCACACTCGCCACCTCTTCCCTCTGGGGTCACTCTCTGCTTCCAGGCCTGTCTCACCGCCAGCCCTGCTCACTGGCCCCACTGAGGCCCAGCTGGGGAGCTAGCAGCTGGGCTGGGAGCACTCAGACACCCAGGGAGGAGGCAGGAGTGGCTGGAATTGGCCGAGGGGGGTGCCAATGGTCACAGGTCGGGCAGGCTGCCGGCAGAAGCAGGAGACTCTGTTTCCTGAGCGTGTCCTGCGTGTGGCCACTGCGGGGTGCTTTACAAGCCTCACCCCTAGCTGCCATGGTCGCCCAGCCCCAGGTGGGAGCCGACACTCACCCCCAGGCCTCTCTGACCTCACCGGGCTCCCAGGTGCTGAGGCGGACAGCAGGCTTTGCCGTGGGCTTCAGGAAATGGAACTCCCCCCTGCGAAACCTTTCACGTCCTTGAGGTCTGGGGGTCAGATGGAGGCCAGGAGAGGCCCAGGGAGGGCAGGGGTCACCGGGATCAGCAACTGGACCAGGGACAGCGAGTCCTGCCTCCACACCCGCCTCTGCCCCTCCAGCTCCGCGTCCTCACGCCGAAGGCCTGCGGGCTCTCTGGCTGCTCGGGCCCTGTCCCGGCCTCCTGTGCCGCCTCCTGCTCCCTCGCTGCCCAGCCCGGGAGGAGGACATTAGCTTTGGCTGCTGCCCTCTTCCCTGCTCAGAGGCGGGGTCTCCGCGCCTGTGGCCTGAGCCAGGCCCGAGGGGCCAGGTGAGCCTCTGGGGTCCCAGCCCAGTCACGGTCCATCCCCCTGGCAGTTGCCGCGAAGTGGTGGGGCCAGAAGCGGATGGACTACGCCCTGTACTGCCCTGATGCCCTGACGGCCTTCCCCACCGTGGCCCTGCCCCACCTCTTCCACGCCAGCTACTGGGAGTCGACGGACGTGGTCTCCTTCCTGCTCAGACAGGTACAGGGTCCCCCTGCCAGGCACGCCCACCTCGCAGGAGAGCCCCGAGTCACCCTGCCGCTGACAGACGGGGCCCCGTTTCATGGATGAGGACAGTGGGGGGCCTGCCCTCTGACCCCCTCAGACCAGAGCCAGCAGGATGGAGGAAGCTGAGATGTGATGTATTTGCAGTCATGGGATAGACGTGAATTGGGGGGAGCAGAGGGGGGAGTGTAGTGGTCGAAAAATGCCTCCTAAAGCCCTCGCGACTTCCCATCTCCAGCTCTCGGGCCGCTGGCCTCTCGCCCCTGGGACAGGAGGCCCGGCTTGAGCCTGCCTCTTGGCCTTCCTGTCCCCGCCAGGTCATGAGGCACGACAATTCCAGCATCTTGGAGCTGGACGGCAATGAGGTCTCGGTGTTCACGCCCTCGAAGCCGAGAGAGAAGTGGCAACGGAAGAGAACCCACGTGAAGCTGCGGGTGAGGGGTCCTCTGGGGGCCCAGGCCCCCGCCGGGTCCCTAGGGGGTCCTGACGAGACTCGGTGTACAGACGAGAAAGCCGAGTCGCACGAAGCGTGGTGTCGTTTATCCGCAGGCGGTGAGGTGGGAGCTGTCGCCCCATTTACAGACGGGGCAGTGCAGCAAGGCCTCCACGGGGCCCCAAGGCTACGTGCTCAGTGGCCGAGCTGGACTTGACCCTGCGCCATCTGGCCTTAGCCCGCGCTCACCCCACAGGCCCACGGGAGGCTTGAGCTGAGCCCAGGAGACCCCAGCCGCCTCTCCAACCCCCAACCTGACCCAGCCTCGCTCCTCTTCCCAGAACGTGACGGCCAACCACCGGATCAACGACGCAGTTGCCAACGAGGACGGCCCCCAGGTCCTGACGGGCCGCTTCATGTACGGGCCCCTGGACATGGTCACCCTGACTGGGGAGAAGGTGAGGACACAGGGGAATGACGGGGGCCCTTGGCCTCGTCCCCCTCTGGCTGGGGTGTCGGGGTTGGGCAGGCCACGTGGCCCAGGGTGACCAGCCTGCCCGACTCCCAGGTGGACGTGCATATCATGACGCAGCCGCCCTCGGGGGAGTGGCTGTACCTTGACACGCTGGTGACCAACAGCAGCGGACGCGTCTCCTACACCATCCCCGAGACCCGCCGGCTGGGCGTGGGTGTCTACCCCGTCAAGATGGTGGTCAGGTGGGTGCCTCGGCGAGGCGGCCACCTCCGGGGCAGGAGGGAGGGGCCCCGGTGGGTGCTGACGAGCTGCCCCCCGCCCCAGGGGAGACCACACATTTGCCGACAGCTACATCACCGTGCTGCCCAAGGGCACGGAGTTCGTGGTCTTCAGTATCGATGGCTCCTTCGCCGCCAGCGTGTCCATCATGGGCAGCGACCCCAAAGTGCGGGCCGGGGCTGTGGACGTGGTGCGGTGAGTGGCCTCCAAGGGCGCAGTGGGCAGGCCCGGAGGCAGGAAGCTCCTGGGGGCCAGGTGGGGCAGGCCTGGGGTGCTGGAGCAGGTGACATCTGGCTGGGACCTTGCAGCTTGAGGAGCTGGCACCACCACTTACCAGCTGCGTAACCTCCACTCAACCTGCTGATGTTGGTGCTTCAACCCTCTCACCTGGGAGGTGGGGTCCTTGCAAGTCCAGTCACACCTGCCGCAGAGGGCGCATGTGGGGCTGTGTGACAGGCGTGGGGGCCGTCGTCATCATTGTTGTTGGAGCATGATCAGGGACGCAGTCTTCAGTGGCCCAAGCGTGGTCTGGCTGGGCAAGAAGATGGGGCGGCCCAGGAAGGGGGACGGGGTGGCCGTGGGACACCCAGGCGTGCCCCTCGCCCCCAGGCACTGGCAGGACCTGGGCTACCTCATCATCTATGTGACGGGCCGGCCTGACATGCAGAAGCAGCGGGTGGTGGCGTGGCTGGCCCAGCACAACTTCCCCCACGGCGTGGTGTCCTTCTGTGACGGCCTGGTGCACGACCCGCTGCGGCACAAGGCCAACTTCCTGAAGCTGCTCATCTCCGAGGTGGGTCGCAGCGGAAGGGGCCCACGCGGGGCCGGGGCGGGGACAGAGGGCCGTGCCTGTGCCCACGCCGGTCTCGCCCACAGCTGCACCTGCGCGTGCACGCGGCCTACGGCTCCACCAAGGACGTGGCGGTCTACAGCTCCATCAGCCTGTCCCCCATGCAGATCTACATCGTGGGCCGGCCCACCAAGAAGCTGCAGCAGCAGTGCCAGGTGGGTGGGCAGATCGCAGTGGGCGGCACGGGCGGGCAGCCCCGAGAGCCCGCCCTGTGACAGCGGCACCCCTCCTCGCCCCTCCCTGCAGTTCATCACCGACGGCTACGCGGCCCACCTGGCCCAGCTCAAGTTCAACCACCGCGCACGGCCAGCCCGCAACACGGCCACCCGCATGGCGCTGCGCAAGGGCAGCTTCGGCCTGCCGGGCCAGGGCGACTTCCTGCGCTCCCGGAACCACCTGCTCCGCACCATCTCGGCGCAGCCCAGCGGGCCCGGCCTCCGGCACGAGCGGACGCACGGCCAGCCAGACAGCGAGCAGCGGGGCCAGCGCAGCATGAGCATGGCGGCCGGCTGCTGGGGCCGCACCATGGCTGGCCGGCTTGAGCCGGGGGCACCCGCAGGCCCCAAGTAGGGCACCCTGAGTGAGGCGCTGTGGTCTCCATGGTGCTAGGAGGCCTGGGCACATGCTGTTGGCCAGGGACCAGCTTGTCCCAGGGCCCAGTGGAGGACACCGGCCGTGCCTCCTGCCCTAGAGTCTGAGGGGTTCCAGCTTGTCATGGGAGCTGGCAGGACGACCAGCCTCAGGATGACGGAGGGACCAGGACCCCCCATGTGGACTGGCCCAGAAGGTACTCCTGGACAATTGCCCTGCGGTGACCTCGCAGCTTCCCGACGCCAGGCCTGGGCCCAACCTGTCACCTCCCCAGCCACTAGCTCGCCCTGACCCCCGGGTCCCCTTCCACCTGGTAGCAGCTCCGACAGGGGACAGCCTGCTTCTTGTTAACTTGAGTTACTCAACTCTCCAACCTCACTGGTTTTGCACTGGTTTTAAGAGACCCATTACCATCTCCCATGGCTACAGACTCGTTGACATGTGTGGAAGTTCAAAGTTTGCGGATCCAGGACCTATGGCCACACAGAAGGCTCCAGGGCGGCAAATCCTTGTATAAGCAGGAGAAAGGCCATATCTTAATTTCCGCAGCTCTGCCTGGCCCGCTAGTACCCTGGCAGCGCTGGACTCCCGCCCACCTGGAGCCCAGTCAGGCCAGGAGCCTGGCGTCACCTTCGGCTCTGGGCACAGCCCAGGTGATGAGGCCCTTGAAGCCCAGAGCCAGCTCTTGCGAAGCCCTGCCTCGGCCTGCGGGGCCTGGCCAGGCCTGGCCGCCTCTTCCACTCGCCTGCCGTCAGTCAAGGCCTCGTGCCTCGGCCTTCCCGCGTTTCTACACCTTTCTACTCCAATCTGATTTCTATGAGGTTTTTTTAAATGAGCAATCCTTGGCTGCTTCCTTTTCTTAACTCTTTCAGTACCAAGTGCAGCCCCTCCACATGAAAACACCCAGCACTGTGACGGAGTCCAGCCTGGTTCTGGGTCCCAGGGCCCTGCCCCTGCCCACGCAGTAGGGCATGGGCTCCCTGCCTCACCTGACCCCCGTTAATTCCACTGAATTTCTACTCTGGTGGGTGCGGCACACACTTAGTTTTTTTAAATGCCAATTCCGTTCCAATACCGAATCTGAGAAGCCACAACTCCCGTCGTCAGCTTAAGGGCAGGCAGCCACGGCTTCATTTCCTACCTGGCAAGGACCACTGTCCTGCACTGGTCTGCGCGTCAGCCCCCCCTCCCCAGGACCTCCTGGCAGCCCCTCTGCTGCTGCTCTGCCTTCGAGGTGGGGCAGCCTGCCTGGCCTCTGCCAGTCGTGGTCGAAGCTGCTGCCAACCTGGATACGGCCTCAGGGCCTCGTGGGCTGGGTCTGGGCTGGGTTGGGGACGCGCACTGATTGACGTTGCCCTCCTCCCGTGTGTAGATATGTACAGCCAAGGGGTCATGTAAATGTTTTGCAAAAGTGGGTCTACACAGAGTGAAGCTATTTATTTTGTGCAGAGAAAACGTCTGGAGGGATGGGACCTTCAGGGTTTATTCATATTTAAGGCGTAGCTTTTTGTTGTTGTTTCAGGCGTATGTATAAAGCAACGATTATTTTATGGACCAAGTTTTAATGTAACTGTTGCAGTTAAAGTGCAATATCTGACCCCCTCTGCTCCCCAGCGGGAAATCGCTCGGCCGACAATCACAGCCCCGGCGAGGGGCCCCCTATGGCCAGTGCCTCCTCTGTCGGTCCCACCTCACCCCATCTTGCCTACCACCTGGATGACTAGCCATCCAGAGAAGCACCTGGAAGAAAGAGTCTCGGGCCTGCCTGCGATAAAGGCTGGGAGGCCTCCTGGCCCAGGGAGGCCGCATGGGCAGTGGGCTCGGCCTCTCCTAGCAGGCAGCCCCCCGACAGCTCCGTACTCCCCACCTTCCTGCCCAGCCACCAGCCATGCCAAGGACAACAGCAATAGTCCCCTGGGTCTCTCCCGGGGGCCCTTAGCCATAGATGGTGAGACGGGCCGCCCACCCTCCCTGTCGCTGTCTCTCTTCTATACCCAGGTCTGCTTCCTGCCTCCCTGAGATCCCTTTCGGCACACACTCCTCGAGAAAGCACCAGTGTTTCAGAAACAGAGAGGGAGGGCAGAGTCCTTTAAAAATACCAAAAATGTTTACAGCGTTGGGTGCTGAGCTGCAGGGCTCAGGCCTGACCAGTCGTTACCAAAGGGTGAGGCAGGCCTTGCTGACTGCCGCCCCCACCCAGGCCTGTTAGAGTAGAAGCCTTAGTCCCAATCCCACCCCCAAAGCCCAGGACCGAGCCTCAGCCCGCCACCCCCAGCCCTGACCACCTGCCTTCTCTGATTTCTAAAGAGGGATTCAGCAGAGACCCCCGCCTCGCCTGCCCGCCACGTCCCATCATGTCAGTCAGCACGGTCTTCACGTCTCGCCCCCCGCCCCTGTCTGTCCGGGCCACGTGTGAGCAGTGTCCTGACTCGCCCCACCCGCCCCTGCTGTCCCCGCACCATCGGGCCTGAGTGTGCTCTGTATACAGTGTCATCGTCTGTCACATTAAAGAAGCAGGAAGGCTTCCTTCTGGGTCTCGTTACTGCACCGGCAACCAGGTCATCAGGTGGGGGGTGGGAGCACGGCCCACCCTGCGGTGGGGAGAGGCCGCCCTCCCCAGGACACCACGCCAGCTGCACCCACGGTAACACCGGTACACTCACGTGGGCCTCAGCCTGAGCCGGCCCCTTCTGCCCCTTCCCAGGCGTGAACGTGGCTCATCCTCACAGCAACCCGGCGACACGGGTGCTCTTAGCCTCTGCATTACAGGGGACACAGCTGGTCGACTGGGCCAGGACTCTTCCCCTGGGCCGCCTGGTCCCAGCTGGAACTCTCAACTGTTGTCACATTAGGAGTAAACAGGGCAAGGGGAGCGTCTCCCTCCGAGCCTGAGGGAATCGGGTTTAAGAGCCACGTCTCTGGGTTTGGGTTCGGATGGGGGTGCGGTCTGGGTCATCCAGGCAGGCTGATCTGAGGGGAGCAGAGCAATGGCGGCCAGTGCAGCCTGCACACGACCACCAGGGCCCTGCAGCCCATTTGTCCCCGGAAGTCCATCAGCCCTTCCCTCCCCCTCGGCACAAAAAGCAACAGAACAGAGGGTGTGTCGCCAATGAGGGAACATTTAATACCTGGGAAGTTTCACTCTTTCAGGAAGTGGGGGGACTGACAAGGACAGTGGCCCCACCCTCCACCCTGCATCTGAGAGGAGGCTAGGCCAGAGGCCGGTCCCCAGGAGAAAAGGCAAAAAGCCCCCACCAGGCTTCCGGCGGCCCACCCTGTTGTGCCAACACTATCCACAGACCTTGGCCAGTGGGGCCCTCAGGGCGGCAGCCCTGCTCGCATCTGGAAGGCCAGGCCATCCCCTCGGGTGGCTTGCTAGATAAGAAAGCACACAGGAAGAGACACGTCAGAAACGGAGCTGAGGGTGGGCCCTGGGCAAAGAGGTGACACCCACCTTGTTGATCTCCCTGTGTCGTTCCTTGGTCACAATTTCCTCTAAAACCTCGCCGTCTCCCTTAATGAGCCTGGGGAAGAGGGGGAGCAGGTTGAGCCTCCAATGCCAGAGCGACAAAGCACGACCTCCCGGCAGAGGGGTGCCATGCCTCAGGCCCCCACCCCTCCCTTTCTCCCACCCTTGGGACAGGGATAAAGGTGGCGGGAGAGGCCCTGCCATCAGAACAGCCAGCAGCGGCTCTCTGAGGACCCTCACGGTCCATCCCGCCCAGCGGCTGCTTGCTCTGCGCGGTGGAGAGGACCAGCCCGAGAAGCCGCATCGATGTGTGGCTACTGATCTTCCACCCCCCACCCTTTTAGAGCAGCAGCCACTGCCTCTCCTCCCGAGACTGCAGGTCCGGGGCCGGGCTTCGCCAAGCACTGCCCACCTGGTGCGCCCCGTCTCCGGGTCCACGACCTTGCGGATGACGCTCTGCCGGGCGTCCCACTCCTCCTTGGTCATGGGCTTCATGGCTTGGATGCGGGACTTCTGTTCGTCTGTCAGGACTTGCAGAGGAAGACGGCACGGAGGTGACGGTCGGACCTCAGGGAGGGGACCCTTCCCATCCTGCCCACGCGGCGGCACTGTACCTGGGCCATCCTCCTCCTCCCCAGCTGATCTGTGCCACTGGTCCAGCGAAGGTCCCGGCAGAGCCTCGGGCTGCTGCGCCTTCGTCTTCTCCTTGTCTTTCTTCTTCAGCTTCTTTTTCCTTTTCTTTTTCTTCTTCTTCTTCTTCTTCTTCTTCTTCTTGTCCTTGTGCTTCCCCCGCTTCTTCCGACCATCGCTGGAGTTTCTTCTTCTTGTCTTTGTGCTTCCCCCGCTTCTTCCGACCATCGCTGGAGGAAGAGGAGGAGGCGGAGGAGGAAGACGAGCTGGAAGAGCTGGGAGAAGAGGAGGAAGAGCTGGATCGTGGTCTCCTCCGGGCCTTGTGCTTGCTTCTCTCTGTGATGCAGGGAGAAGATGAGGCTGGAGGCCAGGAGAGGAAGAAGGAAAGCTTCGTCCCCCTGCCCCCGCCTGTGTAGGCTCAAGCCTATAACACAGGGACAGGGGCGAGGCCTGCGGGCAGGAATCGCCACTCTCTGAAGAGGCACTTTCTGGGCTCCTCCACCGTCACTGTCCGACCAGGAGCAAGCTGGCCAAACGCCACAGCCCAGGCCCAGATGCACAGAAAGCTTGCTTAAGCGGTCCCACTAAGCGATTCATACTCGGGGGGGCCGGCCCAGCCCCTGGATTCTGGGTGTCTTTCAATCCAGATACCGACTTCCACATTCCGCACCACTCTTGACTACTGCTCG